ACGGATGATATCCAAGTGACATACTACCTCACTTTTCTTTCTCACAAAGAGGAGTCACTCGAAGAACATCCCACATCCAAAGATTATCCCATCTGGTTCAGACCCGTGAAGAGAAACCACTTGAAGAATATACCACTTGGCTTTCCCGTGAAGGAGAGTCATTTAAAGAATTATGACCTACTTAGACCCGTGAAAGGGGGCCATTTTTTCACTTAAAGGAACTATTTGCAGCATAGCTCAAGGCGAGAAGGGCTATTTGTCAACAAAAACCTTCGTGTTCAATTTCATTCAACTCAAGGTCATATCAAATTTACAGCATAACTCAAGACGAGAAGGGTTATCTGTCAACCAAAACCTTAGAGTTCGATTACATTCAGCTCAAGGGCATATCAAATTTACAGCATAGCTTAAGAAGAGAAGGTTTATCTGTCAATAAACCTTTGAGTTTGATTATATTCAACTCAAGGGAATATCAAATTTACAGCATAGCTCAAGGCGAGAAGGGATATCTGTCAACAAACCTTCAAGTTTGATCACATTCAGCTCAAGGGCATATCAAATTTACAACATAGCTCAAGGCGAGAAAAGTTATCTGTCAACCATAACCTTCAAGTATAATTACATTAAGCTCAAGGATATATCAAATTTACAACATAGCTCAAGGCGAAAAGGGCTATCTGTCAACAAAGACCTTCGAGTTTGATTACATTCAGCTCAAGGACATATCGAATTTACAACATAATTCAAGGCGAGAAGGGTTATCTGTCAACAAATACCTTCGAGTTTGATACCATTCAGCTCAAGAGCATGTCAAATTTACAGCATAACTCAAGTCGAGAAAAGCTATCTATCAATAAAAACTTTCGAGTTCGATTCCATTCATCTCGATGGCCTATCAACCACATGGTAGTGTCAATAAACTACTTTCCAGTCAAATTTTCAAACCAAGGTCTTTAAACCGAAAAGAAGACCGAAGTTGATTACGATTTGGCAATAAGAAACCACATTTCTATTCAAATTCTGAACTATGGTTTCAATTTTATATCATTTCAAGATGGGATTTCAACTTCACAACGAATGATATCTAATTCAAATCTCAACTTCACAACGAATGAGCCCTCCACGATTTCAACTTCACAAAGAATGATATCGTTCCCAATTGATCGACTTGATTTTACAGCAAATGAGTCATCTGCAACAACAGGGGTTTATTTCCCAGCCAAGTACAACATAACTCAAAGGTGAGAAGAGTTATATGCGAAAAAGTCGAGAAGAAGACCAAATAGCAGTAAGGAACTACTTTCTGATCAAATTTTCACCAAGGTCTTTAAGTCGAGAAGAAGACCAAGGTTGACAACAAGAAGTCACTTTCCGATCTACCTACGATTTCAACTTCACAACGAATGATACTGTACCCAAAAGATTGACCCAACTTCATGACGAAAAAAATGAAAAAACAGTCTCATACCGAAGTCTTCAGGTCAAGTTTTAGCTTCACGACGAAGTGTCTTAGGATAGAAGACGATCTAGGAGTTACTTTCCAAAGTTTTAAGCTCGGTTTCAACTTCACAATGAAGGATATCGTGTTCAGAATTTTCCAGTTCAACTCAACCTTACGGCGAGAGAGTCATTTCGTGATTCAATCAAAATTAACAAACCTGTCACAACATCGGATTTCAACTCTACAACGGAGGATATTCGATAAGATGTGAATCGATCTCCATAGTAGAGGACGTCAAATTTAATGATACGTTTATGATGGACGAAAAGTGTGTCTAGTAGTCTTTGCCCTATTCTCGTTACACGATTATGGGTAAAGAGGGGCAGCTGTAGACACACAATTTCGTCCTTGCTTATATGATTATATTATATATTATACAATATATATGTATTGCATATTTATGATATATTAGTGTGCATACATTATACCATTGTGTACATTATATTCATATTATATAATATTACGCGTATATTATATAATATATATATATTAATATTGTTTGGTTTTGTGTTAGAACCAAACCCGAAGCCCAGATACAAGGGAAGCCCAACAGACCCGAACTCATAACCCAACCTCAACCTGGATCCAATTCAGACCCGACCCGAATCGGCCCAAGCTCCAACTAAGTCGGGTAGGGTTTTCAGAACCCTAAGCCTCACTTTGCTCCAGCCACCAAGCATCTCAACCGTTGGATCATGATGAGATCCAACGGTCCACAATATACCTCATCTAGGGTTTTTTGAACCCTAGCCTGGTTCCCCTCAGCGTCGTTCCAGCCGCATCCCTCCATTCGAAGATTACTCACGCCTCACGCAACCAACGATCATTTTTCTCAGCACGTCAACAAATATTGGTGACGTATGTTAGTGGAACACAAAAACAACCAACAAACAAGTGTTTTAGTCTAAGAGAAATTCTAAAATGAACTAAAAATAGGATTTTTTAGACTATTTATATGCATGTAAACAACACAAAAAAAAACACTCAAAAATTACACAAAAAAGAAAATACGAAAGAAAAGCAAGAATTGTAAACTTTCGAAAGTAAGGTTGAAATAAAAAAGGTACTATTTTTACCTTCGTTCGATTGGTTTTTGCTTTCATACGTTGTCTCGCTTTCCTTTTTTGACTCGAAAAAACCAAAAAAGAGTGGTTGGCCGATGATCAGGGGGAGGGTTATCGAGATTTTCAATCTTAGATCTAGCCCTCCCCAAGGCTTTTTTGAAAAAGGGGTTTGGATTTTTGAAACGAAGGGTAAAAAAGCTTTAAGAAAATGTAAAAAAAATTCGACCATCGCCGAAGAACGGCGGTCAGCACCGATCTGCGACGGTCGGCCGATTTCTGGGTTTCACGGTCGTGTTCTTCATTTTCATGAAGTACACGATGAACATTTCAGAGGTTTTTTTGGTTTCGTTTTGATATGTTTTCAGTATGGGGAAATGAAAGTTGTTATTGGATTATTGGCATTTATACTCAACCCGTGGAGACCTGTGACTCGACCTGCGTAGGATCCGCGTGTTTTTTTCCTGGGAATGGGATAATTGTAGTTTCGGCCCCCCGTTTTAAGGCTTTCCTTTTGCCCCCTAAAATTCAATTTTAACCTTGATTTCCTTTCAAATTTTACTTCTTATTTTGTTTTTTTTTAATTTAGTCCCTATTATTACTATTATATATATTTTTTTCTTTTTTTTCATTATTTATTCAATTTAATATTAATATTTATCTATATACTTTTGTATACTTTTTTCTCCCTATTGGGTTATTTCTTTTTTTATATTTTATTTTCATTTTTTCTTTTTATTTATGTTTTTTTTAAATTTTAATTTAATTTTTTTGTTTCTTTTTATTTGATTTAATCTTCTTTTTTCTTTTTCTTATTTTATTTTTATTTTATTTATCTTATGTTATGTTGTTTTGTTTTGTTTTTTATTTTATTTTATTTTATTTTATGTTATTTATTTTATCATTTTCACTTTTTTTTTGGAGATTAGTTTTTTGTTATTTAGATATTTCTTAGGGTTTTTATTTATTTTTTACTTCTTTTATTTATTGTAGTGTTTGTTTATATTCAATTTTGCAATTAGTATTTCTATGTTTATGAATTTTTTTCTTTCTTTTTGTTTCAATTCGATTGACCCTTTATTTGCTTTTATTGTATTTTTTAATTCATCGGCATGCATTTTTTTATCTTAATTTGATTCTGTTTTTTACTACATCTAACACTTTTCTTGACTTTTTAAGGGTGTTTATAAATCCTTAAAGGTAAGTAATTCGGATCAAATTTTTACTTTTTAATTTAACTTACAATTTTCTCAATTAAGACAACTGAAAATTAATTAGTACCGAAAAGGCACTTCAAGAGTGCTAACCTTTCCTTGACTGTAACCGACTCCCGAATCCGACATATCTTTGGTAAGATACAGATCAGGTAAGAAATCGAGATATCCGATCAATCCATTTTTTATTAAAATAAATGATCGATGGCGACTCTTACAATTTTATTTAAGTTAAAGCCCAATTCTGGACCCACCTGAAAGATGATCGCGACAAGTAGTGGGATTGAAAAGTAATTTTATCATTTTTTTTTTACCAAGCGACCTCAGTGGTTTAGAGATTTTTTTATCCTTTGAGGTTTCGATATATATAGTGATCGAATATTAGAATATATGTTGATCACTATAGTAGTGGGACTGAAAAGTAATTTTATCATTTTTTTACCAAGCGACCTGAGTGGTTAAGAGATTTTGTTATCCTTTGAGGTTTCGATTTCAAGTACTATGTAAGCATGGGTATAAACATTCATTATTAAATGGTTGAAAGTCTTTGAACATATGTTGTATTGTATTTATCCTAACTTTATTAAAAAAATGTAATTTTATCATCTAGTATTGAATTGTTAATTTTGCTTATATATAACCAGAGACTGAGCCATAATTGAACCGTGAGGAGGCAAGTTATTCAACTTTAAAATAAAAAAGATATTCAAAATTGAACAAACCATAAAACTTAAAGGAATTATGATTCATTTTTCATTAATTTTAAAACTAAGGATCTTAAAAAGAATAATTAAACAAAAAAAATCAAAAGTCAAAATTTCATTTTAAAACTAAAAGTATCTTAAAATATAATTCAATAAAATAATTTTAGAAAGAGAATGACTTAATTATAATGATTTTAAAAATACTAGTGATCTAAAACAAATTAAACCATCAAAGTTTATTTATAACTTAAAAATATTTTAACACCCCCTTGAAATAATTATTTCTCATCCCGTCCTCAACCTGCTTTGGAAATTTACGAATATGTTATAGCTACACAAGCAAAAAGCTAAAAGAGGATGAGGTAAAAGAAAAAAAAAAAGGTTAAGAACCATCTTCAACGATAAACACAAAGTTCTCCGCACCGAAATTCATTTGATCTTGAAAATAAATAAATAAACAGAGAAAAGGTGATTAAATCCTTTAGAGAAGAATATAAAACGATCCCACTCTCCGTCTTCCTCACCCTTTCTCTTACCTTCCATCACACGTCTTCTTCTTCTTCTTCTGTTTATGTTTCTGGTTTTTATTTAGTTTAAACAATAATGTCGGCAGATCCTGGAACACTCCAAGATTCGGCGAAAACAAAATTACCCAAACTAAACATTCCATCTTCCAATCAAGAAATCAAGAATAATCAAGACGAGAGCAGCAGCGAGTGTTCAACGCCGACCTCGGAAGAAAACAAGATCCCGGTGGTTTTGTCGTGTCCGGGGGCGCCAAGGAAACCTAGGAAAACACTTGTTTCGTGTAAGCGGAAGCTGTCGGAATTCCACTTCTTCGAGACCTTCAACAGAGACGAAGTCGATGCGTTTTTCGAAGCTGGTTTTCATGGTCCCATCTCTAAAAGAAGGTGCCCACGTACATGAAACTATTATTATTATTGTTATATTTGCTTATTTCTGGGGTTTTACATGTAATTTTATTTATTTGTTTTCCGTATGCATTGAGTTGATATTACCCGCAAATCTCTACCACTGGGATTCAAAAAACAAAATTAGATAGAGTCCTGTAATAATATCCGACAGTTTTTGTTTGGTTTATGGATCCGATCTATACACATGCTAAATCCTTTTCATTTATATTGCTTTACTTTCCGGTTTAAATAAATTTATGGGTATTAACTTATTCTTTCTGAAGTTAAGGGAGTATATTGTAAGAGCATATGTGAATCTAGGTTTTTAAAAATTTAAATTATGGTTGATGATGCATAAAATAAACATTTTCTTACAAATTATTATTATTATTATTATTGTTATTATTATTATTATTATTATTATTATTATTATTATTATTTTGTTAGTCGTTTGGTAAAAAACGTCTTGATTTGTAAGGATAGATAACCTTTTTAAGTAATTTAGGTGCCTTTGGGATCTGCTATAACTTATTAGATTTGAAGTTTTCGGTGATGATTTTTTCTCGAGAAAGTGATGGAAAGCGGGAATGGTGCAACGTGCTTTGGGCATACGCAATTGTTCTCTTTTTGGTAAGAAATCATTGATTTCGTGTGTGTTTTTAATGGAGAGGGGTAATATACGTTTAAAAAATAGGGATAATTTATACTAATTCTTTTATAATTTTTAAAATTTAGGGTAAATTATACATTTAGTACCTAAACTATTACTTTTATTCTATTTTGGTACCTAAACTCTTTTTTTTCAAAATTATACCTAACATTGAATTTATATGTCATTTTATTACCTTCTCATTAAAAACTTAATTGGGATGTTGATATGTCACCATAAGATAATATCATGTTAGTAGTTCTGTTAAATTTTTAATAGCATAGTACCAAAATAAAACCTAATCTATATGTTAGGTGTAGTTTTTTTAAAGGGTAAATTACACCGTTCCTCACTAAACTTTATTCTATCTCTTATTTTACTCATCGTACTTTCAATTTTTCTATTTTGATCATTGGACTTTAAAGATTGAATCATTTTGCTCACTATGCAGTTAACTCTTTAACGTTGTGATGATGTGTCACTTTTTTTTATTTAATATAAAAAATTTGAAAATAAGAAGGATAAATTACATCGTTCTTCACTGAACTTTACTCTCTCCTTTATTTTGCTCACCCAACTATAAAATTAAAACAGAAGGTGGTCGGATGCCATTACTGGCCATTGTCGACAACCATAGATGGTGACTGTTCGGTCCCAAATTTCATGGGTCGCTTCATCTCGACACATTGAGTCTGAATCCGACCTCCATTTTTTCGGAACTTGCTCCGAAGTACACGAATTGGAGATTGAAAGTGAGGAAGCCAAAACATTTCAGTCGAGATTCACGGATTTTGGGACATTTTTCGATGAAACAACCACCAGATTTGGACTCATGGGGTCGAGACGAACTGACTCGTGAATTTTGAGACCGAACGACCACCATCTACAACGGTCGACGATGACTAGCGGTGGGGGAAAGAAGAGGATTTGAAACGACGTAGTTTTGGTATAGATTTGAATTTTTCAAAACGACATCATTTTGATGCTTGTGCCATGTTATAACATCGTTAAGCAGTTAACGACAAAGTGAGCAAAATGATTCAATTTGTAAAGTTCAGTGAGCAAAACAGAAAAATTGAAAGTACGATGAGTAAAATAGGAGAGAAAGTAAAGTTCAGTTAGGAATAGTGTAATTTACCCTTTTAAAAAAAATAAATTTTGAGTACCAAAACGGAATAAAATTAATAGTTTAAGTACTACATGTGTAGTTTACCCTTAAATTTATTATATAAATTAAATGTTAAAAATGGATGATGTTTAGAGGCTACATCCCCTCGATTGTCTCTGTCTCTATTAATTAAAATTTTATAATTATTAAATATTGTGTGAATAATATAGATATATGGGTTAATAGGTGAATGTCTTTGGGTACTTATCTTTTAATAAAAGACCATTTAGATTAATGTTGTTTATACAATCGAGGGATACAAAACAGATGCTATGTGATTTTTATCAAGTATAAGCATCGCATTGAGAAATGAAGAATAGGTAGTTAAAATTCGTCATAGATGGCGAAGACAATCGGAATGAAAAATAGAGTCTACGATATTCGATTCGAAACAAAATTTAAAATATATATCACCAATAATTGGTGAAAAGAAAAAACATAGTCTCCAATAACGTTATATGGGGATAAGAATCCTTTGAATTTTTAAAAAATAACTTTATTAACGTTCATTCATCAATTTAACTAAATTTAACTAAATAATATATATATATATATATTATCTAAATTTAAATAAAATTATTTTTATTATTTAATTTAAATTCGTGCTAAACTAAAGAATCAAAAAAATCGAACCAAACTTGTTGGGCCGGTCAATTCACCCGATTATGGGCAAAATTGGCCCATTAGGCCATCCAAGACATTATTTTAATATCTACGGCAAATGCTTCAGTACAAGATAAACTCTTCCTGTCGATGTGACGAGTTTGCCTAAAAAATATTTCTAAATGGATTTAGGTAAGTGGGACCCGTGGGTCTAAAATTTTAATATATTTTCAGGAACTCGACATGTGAACATGAGGATTCTCATAAAAATATTTTCTTTTGAAAATTAAGTAAAAATTTTTAATTTAAAATAATTTAAAAAATAGTGAGACTCGTCATGTCGACGTGGTGAGTTCCAAGTGAATTAAAAAAAACTATTAGCCAACGAGTAGCTTTTTAAATTTTAAAAAATATACATGTTGGAACTCGTCACGTCGAACTGAAGAGTTCCATCGAATTTTGTTTTAAAAAATAATTTTTAAAATAATTTATTACAAATTAATAATATTTTTTTAAACTAATACAATCACTAAAAATAAAATAAATTTTTTTACTTATATGTTCTTAATTCTTAACGTTACCGAGGAGTGGTCGAATGATAATGGCGTGGAGCTCGTCGATTTCGTCGTGGTCGTCCGCTTTGATCATCTTCATCTTCGTTTGCTTCTTCTTCAACAGGAGGTGTACTGAACATCACTCCACTTTGATTTCCACCTTCGAAATACGGTGATGAAGTATTTAACGTCATAATTGACGTCGTTGACTTGAATTGCCGATCAAATCAGTACCTTGTTAACCATATACAATATGACCTATTAACTCACAAGTTCTATCGAAGATGGTTGAGCGTCTTGCATTGCATCTCATGAACATCCAACTCAATTCTAATGGTTCTCCATTAAAGCATGATATGATGGATAAAAAAATATATTTGAGATGCAAAATATTCTACAAAAACATAATAAGAAGATGTTGGTGATGCTAATTTATTGCCCTTTGCATATTTGGCCTTTATTTCTTCCAATTCGGCCTTATCTCTCAACAACAACAACAACAAAATCCTATTCCATATACAATGGGGTAAGGGGGAGGTAGGGTAGTAGGTTGTTCCCCAACGCCAGGTTGAGAGCAGCTTCCGTGGAAGACCTTCGGCAGTCAAAAAATTTAAAATAAAGATAAAATATGATACATGTTTAAATAAATAAATAAAATATGTAGTTGAACAATCTTCATATGCAGTCTTCATATGCACGTCTGTAATTGGAAGTAATCCCTGCAAATAAATCCCTGCGTAAAAATATTTGCATATAGACAGAAACGTAAGACCCGGCCAAAATTAAAAAGAGGAAACATGAAGAGCAGTATACACAGAATTCAACGATAGCAGGCTACGAGAAGGAATAAAGTCAAATGGGATAAAACCTAAACTAAGGCAACACTATTCCGCTACCTTAGTTCTAAGCCTTCATAAATTCCAATGACAGAAATGTATAAAAAGTATAAGTATTGAAATTACTATAAAGACATTAAAAGAAGACAAAGATGATACACCCAATGGATGTGACTCGCCCTACTCGGCTATACTGGTCTTAAGTCGCCATAATTTCCTATCAGAGGTCATGTCCTCGGTAAGGGCTAAATCCTTCAAATCAGATCTCAAGCAGTCTTCCCACTTCCGCCTTGGTCGACCTTTCCTTCTGGTACCATCGACTGTAATCGACTCCACCCTCCTAACCGCATCCAATGGTTGTCGTCTTAGGACATGCCCAAACCACCGTAGTCTTCCCTCCCTCAATTTTTTGGATACATGCACCACCCCAAGGACATCCTAATAGCAGAGTTTGGTGTCATGTCCCACAGAGTCTTACCACATACCCATCGAAGCATTCTCATTTCTGCAGCCTCCATCCTTCTTACGTGATCCTTCTTGATTGCCCAACATTCTGATCCATACAGCAGCGATGGTTTTATTGCCATTCTATAAAATTTTCCCTTAAGTTTTAGAGGTACCTTCTTGTCACACAAAACTCCAGTAGCAGCCCTCCACTTTAGTCATCCCGCCTTTATACGATGTGAAACGTCATCATCTACACCCCCATCTTTACGTATCATAGACCCTAGGTACTTGAAACAATCCTTTGAGGGGAGAACGTGTCCTTCAATGCATATTTCTACATCTTCATCGTTTTGGTTCCCACTGAAGTTTGAACATAAATACTCTGTCTTTTCAATATTGATCCTTATACCTTTTTCTTCCAAAGCTGTTTTCCAGGTAGACAGTCTACTATTCAGCTTAGTTTTTGTTTCAGCCACTAAGACAATGTCGTCAGCGAAAAGCATACACCATGGAACACCGTCTGGTGTCGCACAATAGATGTCGTCCATAATCAAACCGAAGATGTAAGGGCTAAGAGCCGACCTTTGGTGGAGTCTGATTTCCACCGGGAATGCCTTGGTGTCACCAACTGTAGTCCTGACGTAGGTAGTAGATCTACAGTACATATCATGAATCGCACGGATATAAGCAGTTGGGATCCGTCTCGTTTCCAAGGTCTTCTAGATCGTATCGCGGGGAACGCTATCATACGTCTTCTCAAGGTCAATGAATGCCATTTAAAGATCTCTATTTTTTCTCTATATTTCTCCATAAGCCGTCGAAGTAGATGAATCGCCTCCCTAGT